CCCCAAAACCCCAAAACCCCAAAACCCCAAAACCCCGAGGGTTATGTAAATATAGAAAGATAGCATTTACACTCTTGTTACTCAAACCTGTTATGAGAGTGTCCTCCTGACTGATACTTGTAGTAACAGAATGGGTCCCTAGAGATTGAAGAGTATCACAGCTTTAGAGTCATGATGCTTGTTTATGGGATCATCCGGGACTCTTAGCTGTTGGGTAGCTAAGTTTTCACTTTGTGAGATCTCTTACGACGAGACAAGAAAGTATGTTTTTTCCGTTTGAATATAGGCACCTTGATCTTCTTTCTTGGGTGAGAGGGGGATCGTAAGTTGCTGTGGTCATTTTTAGGTGCTGTAATAACATAAATCCTCAAGTTGCATATATTCCATAAACCAACGACTATCTTTCGTAACTCCAAAGAATGTATTTTTCCAAAAATAAGGATATCCTGTTGCCCAAAACACACGTAAATCTAAGCCATTAAGCTTTGAGGCACAAACCTGAATATAAATCCCAGTCTCTGAGACACTCTTGAGCTTACCTTAGTGGCATATGAATCATTGAGTTTCGGAGGTTACTGCCTTTAAGGCTAACAGGAGTATTCTTAGTACGCCTCATGAAGTGGTTAAATCTGCCCATTACGTAGTTGTACTCTTTATTTTGAACATTTCTTACTATATTTAGACTAGCATGATGAGCTTAAAGGCAAGCTTAACAGCAGAGATTGGATGACTTACTTGCTCCTCCAGAGGTTAAGCTTAAATCCAGCTGGTCTCTTGCTCTTCTGAGTCACAAGTTGTCTCTGAGGAGTCATACTACAGTGAACGTCATGGAAGAGCCGATTTTTGTAAGTCGGGTCACTCCTTAAGTAGTTCTCTTTTCGGAGCTTTATGATTGGGACTTCTATGATATCAGACAACTTCAGTACCAAATGCCTTCCTCTTGTGAATCTTAGACCCCTCATGATTAGAGTAGAGGTTAAGCAATTCTGACTTCGACAGGTTATTCACTGAGTGTAGTGAAAGCCTCATTTTGTGTCCCCTTTTAGAAATTTTGGTTTTCGAGTCATGATAGGAAGGATCTATGTGGTCATTAGCCCTTGCTTCAGAGAAGTTTTCAACAATCCTTTTTGAATTTGTAGAAGATAAGGAATGCTCTTTTGATCTGGCTTTGCTTTGAACTGAAGAAAGGCGTTTAGCTACACTCTGAATCTCTGCTCTTGTGAGGTTTCCATTGGAGTTGTTTATCAAAAAGTTAATTCTTCTGAGACTCTGAGAGGTGACTATTAAAGACTTACATCGTTTCTCCATCTGCTATATTTGAAGCCATCCTCCTTTGGGTTTTCAGCTGGTTTGTCTCTGGCTGAATTCTAGATCATAAGTGCCAAGCTAAGGTTGAAACTTACTGGATTTAGAGTGTTTTGAGGGCTGGAGATAGAAGGCTTTGTAACTTTCTCCGTTTTACTGAGTAAGTCTTGTATAATACTCATTTTTATTATCTTAGAATAAAAATGTATAAATGAAGTCAATTCGAATATGGAATTTTGGGGTTTTGGGGTTTTGGGGTTTTGGGGTTTTGGGG